GCAACTTTACCACTAGGTTTGATCCTCTGCCTACACAAAACTGTAGGTTTGATTCTCAAAACACCAAACAGAAGGACAAGCAACTCAACCATACAGCAAGTGCTTACCATGAGTGAAGTTCTGGGTTCAGACTCCAGAACCCTCAAGCAGTCAATGCAGGATAACCAATAGTTTAAGCAAATATTCAAAAACATTTTAGTATTTTTTTGCAAAGTAAGATAAATACTAGCATTTAGCACATAGGACTGTCTGAAGGTAAAGGAGTTTAAACCAAGCATGGTGGTGCACACCTTTGATCCTCTCCCTCTGGGAGGCTGAAACAGGAAGACTAAAAGTTTGAGCCCAGTCTGGTAATCCAGTGAGGGTCTGTCTCAAACCAAAATGTAAAACTTTAGCCAATGGCACATTCCTGCAATCCTAGCACTAGAGAGGCTGAGGCAGGAAGACCTTTCTGAGTTTAAGACAGTCTGAACTACATAGTGAGATGCTATCCCAGAAAAAAAGAAAAATCCCAGCACTCTTGAGGCTGGGCCAGAGGATCACTGTTGATTCAGGGCCATTTTGGTCTACACAGTGAGCTCAAAGCAAGCCTGAACTGCATGGTAAAACCTTGTCTCAAAAAGACAGGCAGAGGGGGCGGGGATATGGTTTAAACTACTGATTATCCTGCATTGACTGATCGAGGGTGCTGGGGGCTGAACCTCAGTCATGCTAAGCACTTGCTGTATCATTGAGTTGTTTATGGCCTGACAAATGCAAGGTCTTGAGATAAGTTAAGATTCTTGACACCAAAAGCAAACAAACAAAAAAAGACAAAAAAACAACAAAACAACAACAACAATGACAAAAAGTAGAGGTTTGTAGCTTGGTGTCCAGGCTCTGGGTTCAATCCCCAGCACCACACCCATGGATACACAGGAGTTTATAGTAGCGTTAAACATAACAAGTTTCAATAAACAACACCTGTTTTTTAGCTGTGTAACATACAGATTCCCGATAAATTTAATTGATATGCTAGTAAGGAAAAAGCTACCAAAGGTGAGAGCAGGAGGGGAAAGCAATGAGAAAACGCCCTTCCCAAGGGCACTACAGTTAAGGAGAGATATTATTAAGTGGGTACTTCTCCAGTTGTAAAATAGTAGCAAGTTCTAAGATTACCAATGATTTTCGTCATTTGCTGAGCATATTTTATTTATGTATGAGGAAACTTAAAACTGTAAGATTCTCGGTTTATAAATTACTTCAAGTTTCACACCAAGAGAATTTCCCACCATAAACTGACATTCTCAGCTGCTGCAAGACAGTTGATGAGATGAAGGAAACTGAAGAACCAGAAATGAAGCCAGATAGAAAGGAGAGCAGGCTTCAGTGTAACAAAGAAAAGGCCTCCCTAACCATTTGTCCCTGGTAAGGAGAGCCCATGTGCACTGTCATCCCCTTGGTTTTCAGAGATACAGCTAACACGGAGCAGATACTAGAAATCCAATATGAAACATCCTTGCAAACTGTGCTCCCTGCCCACAAAAGGCCTTTGTTTGTTTGTTTTAGACAGGGTCTCACTGTGGAGGCCAGGCTGTTTTCAAACTCATTCAACCCACTGCCTCAGCTTCCAAGTGCTGGGATCACAGTGATGTGCCAGCACACCAGGCAAGAAGGCCTTTTCTGACAGGCTGAGCTCAGGATTCCATGTGTTCTGTTAATCTTCCCTGCCTAGAACAATGTATGTAGTAAGTGAAAAAGCCTTCTGCTGAAGTTTCCCTAAATTTCACAATGGCCTTAGAAAGGAACAGAAGAAAAAACAGTAGCTGGAAGCAACTAGAACAATGTATTCATTTTGCTATCTTCAAAATAGGATAAAATCTAAAGATAATTCCGATATAATTACACAATAAATATATAATGAAACCCTGTTTTATAGGTATCACATACATGTAAAACTTTATGCTGAGTATAAGAGTCACACGGAATAAATTCACTACAACTTCTGTGTAAAATACTAGACCCAGTCAAACAACCTAGATAGACACTAATACCAAATTAATCCCTGTTCCACAGTTTTAAAAGTTCTCATGATGTAGCTTTACATTTCCAGCTGGAAGAGTTTACCTGTTACCTAGATACTAAAATAAAAATACATAGTTACTAATTGACAACACTCATCTTTTTCTTTAACAGTATCTAAAACTTCTGGAGGCTGAGGATTTAGCTCAGTGGCATAAGCACCTGCCTGTCAAGCACAAGGTCATGACTTGGATCCCTGGTACCAATAAAGAAATAAAACTTCTGGAAAGTTATTCTAAGGAGAGAATGAAGAAAGCACAAGCCTTAGCCTTAAGAGATTTTGGCTCAATTTCTAACTCAATTACTTCACTATCTGTATGGCATTAACCTTGACAGTACTCATGTTCTCACCTGTAACATGGAGAGAATCTTTTGTAGTACTGTTGTGTGTGTGCGTGTATCTCGAAGAGACACAAGCTAATCTTATCTCCTAGCTATCTACAGATAAGACACAATCTTCACTCAGTATATGGTGTTATTACCACTGTTCATACCACTAACACCTCTGATGAAATACTGAAAATCTTGGGTGACCACGCGACAAAGGAGGTCAGAATACGGAGAATCATCAGCAGCATACAGAAGCAGGACAGTGAACACTGATGATTCAGAGAGGAGGAAAATGACATCTACTAAAGCTGGGCTAGCAGCATTCATGGATGAAACACCAGGGCCTGCGTGGGAGCCACAGCTTGCCTGGAGCTCGGCTCCTCCACCTCTACACACTCCCAGATACCTTGCGATAAACTACACCGAGCGCACACAGCTTCTGCCAGAAGCATCACCATGCAGCAACAGGTTAACACTTAAGTCTGAAGAGCATTATGTTGCTGAAGAGAAAAACTCAACCTGGAGGGTTTATTTAATTTGAATTTATTTAATTTTATTTAATTTCTCACTATGTAGCCCAGGCTGGTCTGGAACTCACAGCAACACTCCTGCCTAAAGGTATGGAATGGTACTGGGCATGAGGTCCCAATTCTCAAAGGATGAGGGTTCCAGGCCTCCTGGGCTACATAGGGAGTACAGAAGGAGCCACAGCAGACTGTTCAAATAGAAGAGTATGCACTGTCTACAGGGTTTGGGTCCTAGAGGATACAGTGTAAGTCTCATGTCCTCCCACTCTCCTTCCACGGCTATTCTATAAGGCCACTCCCAGCACACACAGCCTGCATGTGTGGGTTGCTCACCACAGGGCTGAACCTCTGCACCTGCTGCCTCCTAAGAAGAAACCCTATTTCAGCAAAGGCTCCTCAATAATCCTAGCACTTTGGGGGGCGGCGGGGAGAGACCCTGAAGCAGGAGGACTGCAAGTTGAGGCCCAGCTTGGGCAGTGTGAAGATTTAGCAAGACTCCATCTTAAAATTAAAAAACGGCTGAGGCTATAGCTCAGTGCAAAGACCCTGAATTCAATCCCCAATGCTGCAAACCAAGGAACAAATAAAAACCAACCAAAACAGCAAAAGAAAATATTGAATAAAAAGTGTTTCTTTGGAAATACAGACTAGGCTTTCACAAAATGTTACTCTTTGGATCACTGCAGAAACTAAAGAGCTGGTTTAGAAATCCAAACTAAACATCTGGGTAGGATGGTGGAAAGCCCTTTACACACAACTGTGTTATATTTCTGCCTTGGTGATAGGGTAGCTAGAGGAAGGAAAAAGCAGAAAACATGAGAACATCGTACATATATAACCATGCTTAGCACTCTTCACTCACAAAAGTATTCTGTATGGGCACAGACTCATGCATAGCCCAGCAAAGTCCCCAGCAGAGGCCCACACCATGCAGAGTACACACTCACAGCAAAGCCTGTTGAAGCTGGACTGACTATCAAGATACACCAGTGTTTTTGATTTTTCAATTTCTAGTTAGCAGCTGTATCATGCATGCTGGGAAACTGTGATTAAGAGAGCATCATTTACAGACTGTGAAAAACCTCAAAAGGAAAGAAACAAGTTTTGAAGGTTAGCCTCAGGGAAGTCATTATGTTAAGTATAAGCCCTTCGGGGGAATAAAAAGGCTATTTCTGAATCCTAAATGAATCACGTCTCTATCTATCTGTCTGTCTGTCTGTGTATCTTTGACATAGTCTTATAAAGCTCAGACTGGCCTTTAACTCCCAGCAATCTTTCTATCTCAGCCTCCTAAATGTTTGAACTACAGGCACATGGTATCATGCCCCACATCAATTTCACTCTAATTACCAGATTGGTTCAAGTTCAAACGGGCAAAATTAGGAAGAACCCAACAAGAAGCAATTTTGTACTGTGCTTCACAGACACTGAGTTTGCCCCAAACTAAGTCACATGCAACTGTGGACCAGCAGCTATAAGCATCCACCTGGTGAAACAAAGTAGCTGCATCACTGAGAGATCATTTCCCACTGCTAGAATGAAGTTTATGCTGCAGTGCTGGTCTGGGGCTGCCATATACACAGAAGAAGATATTTTTATTTGCTCTAAAGCAGGTTAGATGTCTTGTTCCATCAACACATGCTATATACATACTAAAAAATAAAAACTCTACTTTCCACACAGGAGGCATGTTTTCCACCCTAGTGAGTGCTACAGACTGAACTCAGGGCCTCACACATGATAGGCAAGTGCTCCACCGCTGAGATACATCCCCCTTTCAGAAACCACAATTTGTTTTTAAATTAAGAACGGTGGATGGTAATAGGGTTTCTATTCGACTTCGCCTGAAACCCAGTCCAGTAAAAAGGCATGCATCCAAGTCACCAGCCTTCTCAAGCTGGACACAAGACACGTCTTGGCTACGAAAAGCACGTAAGTAGCAGTTACAAGTTTTCATGCCAACAAACTAGTGACTACTGAGAGTGATTAGAGTCTGGATGAAACCAAGGCATAAGCTTTTTGCCTTTTGGATGCTGATTCAAAAGCCACAAGCACACGCATTTCTCCATGGCAGGCTCATACCACTGGACTTTGGTTGCCGGAGTCTGTCTCGTTCTTGGACTGCAGACTTTGGCAAAGGTGGAGTAAGCCCTCGGGACTTGGTAGGTCTCATGTAGCCTTTCATTGGTTCTGCCATTCTGCCTTTATCTTCTTTTCTCCCTTGGGCCAGTATCTTTGGTTCAGATTTCTCTGCCATTTTCTGAGATGCTTCTTCAACGTTATCTTTGAGTTCTGGGAGCTGCAGGCCCTCGGAAGCAGTCACTACTAATTTATCATCCTTCCCTGCAGGAGGACCTTCAACTTTGCCACATGAGAAATTAGAATGGAGTTCTGGGGTTGGCCGGGAAACACATTCTAATTCTGTAACTTTACAAGACAGACTAATTTCTATTGATTTTTCCTTTTCACTTTTTGAAGACGTAAGAGTCAAAGCTACCTCCTTCTCCAAATTATTTAAGCCCCTGGAATCGCTCTCTTCAGCATTTTGGTCCGCACAGAAGTTGAGTTTTTGTGCTTTGTCTCCCAGTAAGTCAGGAATCTGGGCCGGAACAGAGCCTCTCTCAGTAGCCTGCACTGGCTTTGCTGGAGGTGCTGGGAAGCCACTCCAGTCTGCCATTAATCCAAGGCCTGGGGCCTCTCCCAGCAGGCTCTGGTCTGCTGCGGGCACTCCAGTAAGGAGGTGACCTTGTGCTGGCTCTGCAATGTGCCGCAATGAGCACCTAGAGGCATCGTGATGGCCTGACTTGGATTCTCCCACAGCATGCTCTTCATCTGCTGCTGGGTCATTTTTTGTGGGATCCTCAAGCTCACCTTTATTCTTACACCAGGGATCTGCATGACTGTTAACTGTTTCTAGGGCTGCTGTGGAAGTCAGAATAATTCCTGCTCCACTTGGAGTGGTCAGAACAGCAGAGGCGGCCTTGGGTCTTTCTTGCTCTGGGACTCCATCCTTTTTGCAGCTAGCCTCTTCTACTAATAATTTAGAAACTGGGGCTGAGTTTATTTCCTGCCCACTTTCTGCCAAGGTGTCTGGTAAAGAATCCCTTTCCTTTACTGTTGGAGGAGCAGAAAGGGGCAATTTTTCACGGGCTGCTAATTCCAGAGTCTCTGGAGTAGCTGACTTATTTATCAGCTCTGACAGTGTGCTGGGACAGGTAAAAGTAATGTTTCTATTTTCGTCCACATAGCCCATCCCTTCAATTCTGTGGTTCCCTGAGGTTTCCATGGCAACATGCATTTTTGCTGCATCTATCTTACTCTCCAGAATGTGCTTCTCAGGAAAACTATTTTTAACCTTTTTATTTTTTCCATCATTACTCTTGTTATTTGGTTGGTCAGCCACTGTGGGATGTCCATTGACTTCATCAGTCTTGTTCTCCTCAGACACTACTGAGGAAACAAATCCTGCCACCTGCGTTTGGTTTGGAGCACTCACATCTGTTACTCTGGTAGCTGGCTCCTTGATTGTGTGTGTTTTGCTCCCCTCAACAGCTCTAAGTTCAGCAGAATTAACCTCAACACTCTTACCCTTTCTGTCAACTGCTTCTACCATCAGTGCATCTGACATACGTGAGAACACAGGCTCTGGTGCTGGGGGGAAAGTGAAGCCCAGTTCCCTGTTTTTCAGGGAAACACTACTAGTGTTGTCTCCGTCCTTCCCTACAAAAGGTGAGTTAAGGACTTCCTCCCTGCCCTCCATTCTAGCAGTCTGTGTGGGGTAATTATTTTTAAGCTTTTTGGTTTTGCCTTCATTATCCCTCTTTCTGGGCTTTTCAGAAATCCAGGGAGTTGACTCCTGGTCCACCCACGGCCCTTCTTCTTGCTTGCTCTTATTACCGACACCCATATTCCTGACTGAGCTGCTTCTTTCTATCCTATTAGCATGAGAAGGCTGAGTCAAGTTTGACCCATTGTCTAAGGGACTCAGGCCCTGCACAGCACTTCCTACTCTCGGGCTAGTCATCCCTGCCTCGGGGAGACCAGACATGGTCCCCGGCAGCTCTGAAGAGCTCAGCCCCAGCCCTGCTCTTTTATCCTCAGCAGTCACCCTTTCGGCCTTAGGGATGGGCTCATCTGGCCCCAGAACAGCCCTCCCATCTTTCTCATCATCCAGATGCAACAGCAGCTCAGACTTGGTTCTCATCTTCCCAGCACCCACCCTCACTCTCCCAGAACTTCCTCGCCCTTTCTTGCTTTTGCCATCACCTATTGCTCTCTTCACTGGCTCAATCCCTTGCCCAAAGGCCTTACCCAACACTTGCCCCTGTGGTTGTTCAAAAGCAAAGATGCTGGTTTCTTCCCTTGACATGGAAAGTACTTCCTTATTTGGTTCTTTAACCTCTTTGGCTCCTTCTGAGAACTCTTTCTGCTTGCCATCATACAGTTCAGTCATTTTATTTTCATCATTCCCTTCTATAAGACTATTTTCTGTTGGATTACTTGTTGTCAAAGTGGCTGTCAAATTAGGCAGTTCTACTGCTGTGGGTTTTAAAACCATACCCATAACCTTCTGGTCCAAAACAGGTGAGCAAGTCATACCCTCTTTGGATCCAATCTCCAAAAGAGCTGCCAATGCGTGGGAAGGCACCTCTGTCAGGGGTCCTTTTGGACCAGGAGGGCCCTCTGTCTGGCTTTTATCCACAGGAGTCTTCAGGTGGGGTGCAGGCTTTGGCTTGTCCTCATTGTGCTGTGGCAACGGTTCTTGGCACTGTGTCACTGAACCATTATCTTTTCTCGCTTCCTGTGTCCCTAGCCTGGGCTCAGCACTGACTGCAGTGGCTGGAGGGGCTCCTGGGCGGGAAGGAGCTCTAAGACTCTTTGAGATGAAGTTCTCGCCTCCCCACCTGGCTGCTCTGGAGTCAAGCACATGCTCCCTTTTCATGTTCTCTCTGGCAACAGATCCACATTCTGGGCCCAGCACGGCACACTGGCTGGAGAGGACAGCAGGCTGGTGGGAACCAGTTGCAGAGGGATGGCCCTTGGGTTCCTCTGCATTGCTGTTGTCCCACTGCCCCCCAGTCCGGGGTTGAGAATATCTCTTTTGCTTTGGTTTCTTCTTCTTTTTTTTCATCATCATTGGGGTACTTTCTGTATCCCAGGCTTCCCTGCCAAGATCCCTCTGGGGTTCAAGGAAGTCAGTGTGAATGTTCTTCTTTTGGCTCCCGGGCTCAGCACACAAAGATGAGCCAGAGACCCAATCCGACTCTGCCCAAGGGCCAGGGCCCAGCCTGGGCTCAAGAGTCTTCCAAGGAGAAGAGCCTCCTGGCAACTCGGGAAGGACCCTGGCAGGCCTGGGCTGGGCTGCCTTGCGGTCACTGGGTCTGCAAACTTGTCTGCCTTGTGTGAGAGGGGCACCTGCAACACATGAAGTCAGCTAAAATTCCAAACAATAAATTCCTTGTTATTTTTTTTTTTAAGTGCATTCAGTGACTCAGTTAAGCAGTCTACTTTTACCATCATAGTTTTCCAAACACTTTTCACCCTTAGCTAGGGTTACCAGAGGTCATCATCTCAGGTACAGATCTTTTTGTCAAAGATTCGTACTAAACTTTCAAATATTTCAAATCTTTAAGCCCATATAATAAGCATAATAAGTGCTATAAATCTCATAAAGAGCCTATAAATCTAATTTATTTATGTGTCATTTTTAATTCATACATAAATCTCAATTCTCTAAGACGGTTAAGTTTCTAGTGCTTATCTATTCTTGTGACATTTATTTACTTACTCGTGATTTTTGACAGAATTTATAAATCTAAGAGTCTGTCATTAATATTACATGAATCTCTGTCAAACAAACCAGCTTGGTTCTGAGAAGTAGACCAGAAGGTCCAGATTTATGCTACTTAAATGAAAGGGAAAAAAATGATAGTGAATTTGTTTTTTGGCTAGAGAAAAATGCTCATTTTAGAAGCAAAATGTTTTACTTTGGAAGACAAATATGCTAAATCTCAATGTTCTGTTCCTAAATATACTTCCCAAAAGTCAGAGAAATATAATGTTAAGTACTTTAAAAACAATTTTAACAATTAACATTAGCATCCCTGGAAAAGTTCGAGGATCACGATATAGATCCAAGTTCACAGAAAATCTCAGTAAGAGTAGGTTATGCTGGGACTGGGGATTTAGCTCAGCAGCATAAGCACCTGCCTTGCAAGCAGGCAGTCGTGAGTTCAATCCTTGGTACTGATAAAAATGAAAAAGAAAAAAAAAAAAAGAGAGAGAGAGTAGGTTATGCTATTCCTTAGGTCTGACCCAATGGACTGATTTCAAACAACTTTAAAATATTTAGAAGTAGTACCCTTTATTCTTGTTCTTAACATTTCAACACCATCTAAATCCTACTCTAAATAAACTTAATCTCTAACGTTAATTGCAGCTTCCTTCAAAAATTCTGAAGCAATAGTACTAGACAATCTACAACATTTAATTTGCAATTAAGCACCAGTTATTTGGTGCCATCTCTTATTCTGTTTTCTTCAGTTATTATTAAATCTGTGTTTTCAGATTTAATAGGTTGACTCCTAGGAACTTGTTCATCCAAGTTATTAATGTAATAGTAACTCAAGGGAAAGGACTTAAATACCTATGTGCCATAGTATTGCCTCTTTGTATGTAACTAGCAAGCACTTAGTAAGATAGACTGGTATGTTCAGCCCCTAAGACAACACACTAAAGAACTCGACCTCTACTAAGTGCTAGACAGAAGGCAAACAACTACAAATTCAGAGTGAAATAAATCATGACCCTGGTCCTCAAGAAGCTCATGTTCCAATCACAGTCACAGAAAAAGTTAATAACCATATTCGTAAGTTTCTGGTTTATCATCAAAAACATATCTTAAAGATCACTGAACAATCAAACTGTAAATTGCAAAGTATCTTAGTACCTCTCAAAATTGACATAGGGACCATTTGGGTATCTTGTTAAAGGAAGACTTATACTTAGGAAGGTCCAGATGGAGCCCAGGAGCCTGTGTTTCTAACATATTCTTGGCCAGTGAGGTGCTACTGAGCCATAGAACACAGGTAAGGGTTTCTAGAACAGCTGATCAATTTATTCAGCTGCTAACAGCTAAATAAACTGAGATATAGCCGATGATCAGAAAGAATAGTGAAGAGGTGAGCTGGATCACAATTCAGTGTTCTGAGTTGATACAGTGGTAACTTAAAAGTATGTAACAAACTGACTTTCTGCTCTCAACAAATTGAAATCTACAGAAGAAAAAAATGTGACTTTAAAAAAACCACATGACTTGAGAAACTATACTGCTTACTTAACACTGCATCAGCAGGGAAACAGGCATGGTGTATGCCTTTATCACCCCGTCACTCCTTGGTTAGCCTGCTTCCAAGAGTCCATTTGTTTCCCTAATTTACCTGGGGTCTCCAAAGAAGCTTCAGAAAGCTGACTGTTGAGTGGTTTCTTCTGTTCTAATTTCTCTATCCCAGATTCTTCATCAGTTGACAAGTTGTACTTTTGGCCTGTGGTTTTGATTGGTTCTAAAGGCAATAGTAAAACCTACATAAGTTTAAGAGAAGCATTATTTTAATTATCTTTGCAGATTTTGACACTGAGAATAGGGTGTGTGTGTTTTATATACAAGTCTTGTAGCCCAACCTGGCCAAGACCTCAAGATATCCCTGCTTAACCCAAGTGTAGGACTCATATCTGTAACCCTTGGGGCTGGGGATTTAGCTCAGCAGCATAAGCACCTGCCTTGCAAGCATGCAGTTGTTGAGTTCGATCCCCGGTACTGATAAAAAGGAAAAAAAAAAAAATTAAAAAAAAAAAAACCCCAACATCTGTAACCCTTGGACTCTGGGCGACTAAGGCAGAAGGACTGCAAGTTCAAGCCCAGCATGGACAACATAATAAGACCGTGCCTCAAAATTTTAAAAAAAAAGAAAAAAATTAAAAAGGACTGTATATGTAGCTCAGGGTGAAGACTCTGGCTGGGTCCAATTCTGAGTCCTGGAATTATAGGTATACACTACTATATCTGCTGATGGAAATTGTTTTCAAGGAATTTTCCAGTAACTGGCAGCAGAAAAGTGCAAAGATAGTTGGAAGGTAGTTGGCAGGATTTCTGTTTATGCATTTCCATTTTCCCTTTACACAGGGTCTTGTTGCCCAGGCTCATTGTGAACTTGAAATCCTCCTCCTTGAATCTCCCAAATAGCTAGGTTTTTATAGACTGGTGCTCCTACACTTATTTTTTGCCTTCTGAGATGAGAAAAATTACAAATGTTTGTCATTTGGACGGGATAAAACAACTGAAAGCATATTAAACTGATGAGAGTAGGAATAGGGTAACACACTTGAGCATGAAAAAAGAAGTTTGGCTCTGATTAGCAATAGGAATGGTTTGCTTATGAAAATAGGAAAGAGGGCAAGGTTAATGACCCCAGCTACAAATCCTTGTGTAGATGGGGTTAATGGAAGTTTGTGGATGTTCTATTTTATTACTTCAGTTATCTGGAAGGAAATCAGGAACATCAGCAGAGAACAAGGATGTAAAAGATGCTAAAGTTGGAAGAGGGGAGGATTGGAGAAGCATTGCCAAGGAGAGGAAGAACATGAACAGAGACAGACAGCATGAGTCTGCCTTCATCGTATCTGGCACAACATCTTGGTCATGGACGCTAGACCTTAGAAACAGTAAGAGTAAACAGAGACCCGTACCTGTTGAAATCAGGCCAGGAGGTGCAGGCGAGCCTCCTTTACTTGGGAGAGACTCTAGCTGGGAATCTTCACTTAGCCCTTCCCGGCTCTGTGCCATCGCCATGTCTTTTCGAACTGCTGCCACCTCTGTTTCTAAAGGTTGTGCAACATCCTGAGCTGAAAACGCATTGTTGGCCAGGGTCACATCAGTGCCAGGGGGCACCACTGCATCCTTACCCAGGGCCACCTCTGTTTGTGGAGGCAGAGTTGCATCCTTGATTGAAGCCACCTCCTTTTCTAGGAATGGAATCACATTCTTGACCTGAGCCACCTCTGTGTCTGGTGGCAGAGCCACATCCCTGCTCAAGGTCATCTTTGTTTCTTGGGGTGTGGCTCTATCTTTGCTCTGGGCCATTTCTGTTTCTTGGAGAGGAGCCATATCCTTGTCCAGGGCCATCTCTGTTTCTAGGGGTGCAGCCATATCCTTTACTGGGGCATACTCTCTCTCTAAGGGCAGAGCCACATTCTCAGCCAAGACCATGGAGGGTTCTGGGGGCAGGGCCACATCCCTTGCCAGGGCCACCTCTGTTTCTGAGGACAAAGCCATCTCCTTGGTTGGAGATATGTCCATAGATGATACATTATCCTTAGCCAGGTCTGCCTCTGCTTCAGAGATTGACACCACATCCTTGACCAGGGTGATCTCTGTGTCTATAGGTGGAACCATGGTCTGTTGAGGAACCAAATCCATTGGTACAAATGGTGCTCTCTCTGTCATATCCTTGCCTGGGGCCACTTCCAGTTCTGTGGGTAGCACCACAGCCTTGGTGGAAGACACATCTGTTTCTGTAGGCAGCATTACCTCCTTCACTGTAGCAGCCTCTGTTTCAATGGGTAGTGCCACGTCCTTGGTCAGAGATGAGTCTGATTCAGTGTATGGCTTTGTATCCTTGACTAGTGTCACATCCAATGAGCAATTAGGAGGTTGCTCTGTATCTTCAGCCAATGCCACTTTTGTTTCTGTGGCTGGTGCCAGGACCTGGGTCAGGACCCCCTCTGTTTCTCTGGATGGTGCCAAGTCAGATGTCTTCTGTCCTGTCACTGTATCTAATGCTTTTGTCAATGGTTGTTCTTCTACTGATGCCAGTTCTATCTCCTCAGTCAGGTCTAAGGGACATAAACATCAAGACTCTAAATAAACATTTAGCTATCCACTTGCAGTTCTGCTTTCAAAACTTACATTCTTAGGTCACAAAACTCTTTGGCTTTTATGGTCATGAAATGTAATTAAGTTGAGTTAATGTATGCTGCCTGGTTGTGGTTTTTTGTTTGTTTGTTTTTTGAGACAGGGTATTGTTCTGCAGTTCTGGCTGGCCTTGAGCTCACTTTCAGACTGGTCTTGAACTCCCAATGATCCTCCTGCCTCAGCCTCCCGAGTGCTGGGATTATAGGCATGACCCACCACGCCTGGCTATGCCGCCTGTTTTTTGACAATCCCAACACTTACAAAAATAAAATATATGCTGGAGATTTAGCTCAGCAGCATGAGTGTGCCTGGCAAGCACGCAGTCATGAATTTGATCCCCAGTACCAAAAAAAAAATAGAAAAAAGAAAAAAGAATAAAACATATGATCTGAGAGGATAAGTATTATATGAGAAAAGGCAAACGAGGGAGAAGATTGACTTCAAAATGCATATAACATAATCAGTAGTGAGACGGAAACCTGTCAGTACCTGTCCTACCATGAAAACAATCCCAGAACTCTAAATCTGCATTAAATTAAGAAGGGACTGTCATTGCTCTTTTGAGTAATGGGTTCATTTGTCCAGACCCCTCCCTCAAAAAAAAGAGGACTCCAGAGTAGAAACAACATTAAAAGTCAGGTTCAATGCAGTCAATCTTGCAAGCCTGGGTATCTGACAGAAAGGTACACACACAGAGCAATCACACAGAGTTTATAATCCTAACACGAAGGTCCGTCCACCAGGTTTTTTATTAGTTGAGAACTCTGGAAGGCAAAATCTTCACAAAAGAAACCTCTGAGTTCCCTTGTCCCCCTCCCAGTTTGAGTCTGGGTTTCTTCAGATATTGTCTATTTTTTACTTTGGGATTTCCCAAGAAGCAGATGTCTTAGGTGACTTTGGACAATATGGTGATTACTATACTCGTGCCTACCTTCTATATCACGTGTTCTCTCTCTCTCTGCTATTTTCTTTTTATTCTTTGTTTGTTCGTTTTGGTTTTGGTTTTTTGATACACTGTCTCCTTATGTCCTCCATGCTGATCTTGAGTTACTATGTAGTACAAGCTAGCATCCGACTTGCGGCAATCATCCTGACTCAACCTCCCCAGTGCTAGAATTACAGGAGTGTGGCACAACACCTGGGCTACCAAGGCTCTCTTATTCATTGTTTTTCTTTCATTCAAGGTCCTGTTTGCTCACAGAGTCTCCACATGCATGAACTCTGTCAGGCAATTAGAAAACTGCCAGTAATCTTTCATTCAGAATTTAACCATTTTATCTAGAAAACCAGACCATATTTTCTTTTTCTTCAAGTTCCTTAACTCCAACTATTATAGTTCTACTACAATTTAATTCCCTCAGCTGTATCACCAATGTGAACCTTAAAATATTTGTAATAGTTCTGAAAATTTTACCTTTGCCTTTTGCTAAAGAGTGTCTGAGGATTTATGGACTCTGCAACCATTAACATTGACACCACCGTTAAGAGATTTACCTGCTGGTGGAAGTGAAGGTTCCCTAATGTCCTCTGGGGAAACAAAGGATTCCGACTGTGCAGAGTTTTGGGCTGGCACAGACCATTCCTGAGGTGCAACAGCGGCAGAAGTGAATGTGTCACAGGAAGACAAACCTAATATTGAGACACAAATAACAGGAAAAAAGCAATCTGACATATTAAACCTGCAGTATATATCACCAAGAATACATACCTCTATGGACCAATAAAAAACAAAGCACTAAAGTTTGATGTTTTGTTTTGAGACAAGATTTTGCTATGTAGCCAAGGCTACCTCAAACGTCAGGTGATCTCCTGCATCATCCTCTTTTGCTCTGTTTCGATGCATGTGCCACCATGCCCAGCAGCACAAGAGTTTTAAAAGGCAACACTACTGACATTCCTCAGGTTTGGGGTCAGCTGTTAACAGGGAGGAAAGTATCTCTACATCATAGTACTAACCAACATTTACTCGTGTCTTCTACAGATATGATAAAGATCCAAAATAAACGGGGTATGGTGGTTTATGGCTATAATCCTAGTTACTTAGGAGGCTCACTATCTGCATCATACTCATCTCAAAATGAAAACAAAACAAATGAAAAGGCTGGACACAGTGCTGCAGGTCTATAATCCCTTTGGGAGGCTGAGGCAGAAAGAACACAAACTTGGGCCCAGCTATGGCAATTTAAGAGACTCTGAGACCCTGTCTCAAAATAAAATGGGTAGATGGGCCAGGATGTGGCTCAGGGGTAGAGTTCTTGCCTTCCATGCACAAGGCCCTAGGTTTAATCCCCAGTACCACAAAAAATAAAATAAAATGGTCAGGGATATAGCTCAGTACAAAGGCCCTGGCTTCAATCCTCAGGATTATAATTAAATTTTTTTTTTTTTTTTTTTTCCAAACAGGGTCTCACTATGTAGTTCAGTCTGCCCTTGAACTCACTATGTAGCCCAGGCTGGTCTCAAACTTGGATCAGTCTTCCTACCTCAGCTTCCTAAGTACTGAGATTTTAGACATGTGCTTTACAATTAATCAATTAAAATAAAACTTTAAAAACATAAGAAGGACCAGGTATAGTGGCACATGCCTCTAAACTCAGCATTTGGAAGGCTGAAGAAAGAGGATAACTGTGAATCTGAGGAAAGCCCAGGCCACAGAGTGAGTTCAAGTCAGCCTCAATTAGATCGCAAGACCACTCTTGAAAGAAAGAAAGAAAAAAAGAAAGAAAGACAGATAGACAGAAAGGGGTATCCAGCTCTGTGACAGGGCCCCTTCCTAGCATATTTAAGGTACTAGGTTCAATTTGCAGTGTGTGAGGAAAAAAAAAGACTCAAAATATTGAAGACTAAATACTAGCAATGCCATGACCAATAACACAGTATATAGTAACAAACTATGAGCCTTAATTCATCTGTGAAATGAAAACAACACTTCCTTTTATGAAAATGTTTTCCACATTATTAACAACTAGACAGCCACAAAAGGAGTATTATGCCCTTCTATATCAGAATACCAGCCGGTCCTAGACACTAAGATCACGCTTTGTTTTAGGAGTACTCATGCTGTGTTGCCCAGGCTGGCTTGGAATTCCTGGGCTCAGGTAATTCTCTTGCCTCAGTCTCCTAAGTAGTGGTGACTACAAGCACACTGCCACCATGGGTGGCAAGATTTTTACATTTCAGCTATATTGGTACAATTTAGGCTAGATAGATAAATATCAAATAGGGCCAAGGATTTAGCTCAGTGGCATAAGCACATGCCTTACAAGCGCAAGGTCATGAGTTTGATTCTCCGTAACAAAAAAAAAAAGGGTATACCAAATAATGCACTTTGCATAGTATACCATACTATTGTACAGTATGGAGCAAGTGCTATAGGAGTTAAGAAGAACCAGGTGGACCAGGCTTGTACATTAAGTTTCAGAGGAGATAGCAAGTGGTCAGTTTCAAAGACAGAGAACACTGGACAAAGAAAGCATAAGATACCAGCAGACCCTAGGACAAGGACCATCTGATGAAAATGCATTGCATGTCAGAGATGGAAGACAGAAATAAAATGAACAATGGAACAAAGATCTTAAAAGCCAACAGAGAACTTAGAAATGAAGAAAAAAAGTCTTTTTGAGACAGGGTCTCCTTATGCAGTTCTGGCCTTGAACTCACTTTGCAACCCAGGCTGACCTGGAACTAGAAGCAATCCTGCCTCAGCCTCCTGAGTGCTGAGATTACAGGCATGCACTATCACGCCCAGCCTAAAGTCTTTATTATGAAAATCAGATGACAATGTAAGAGGAATTCAGAATGATCAGTACAGCAGGAATATTTAGAATGAATTAGAAAAGGGTGTTAGAGATCTAGGCATGATGGCACATCCTCATAATTCCAGCATTCAGGAATCTGAGGCAGGAGAATCACTGCAGCTTTGAGGCCAGCCTGGGCTACATCGTGAGTTAGAGGTCTGCCTGAACTAGAGACTCCATCCCAAAAACTCATTCTAAAAGAAAGGGGAGGGGGCAGGGATACACTCAAAGGCACAGTGCCTGCATGGCAGGAATGAGGTAGTGAGTTCAGTCCTGGCACAAAAAAAAAAAAAAAGAAAAGAAAAGAAAAAAAGCACACAGAGAAGAAAAGGGAAGAGGAAGGCTAATTAGGAAACACATGAGTGAAAGCAGAGGCAGCACAGAGGAAAAAAGTGCTTTGTGAAAGAAGGCAAGATGCAGCCAAGATGACTCACTAGCTAGTGAGCTCTGAGAACCACTGAGGGGCCAGGGCTAAAAAATCGAAGTACAAGGAGGCCTGATGAGTGACATCAGCAGTCAACTCATTTAACACCCTTCTTCCAAGAGATTGTTAAGTCCTCAAAAAGGAAAAGTGAAGTACACTACCCAGATTATTCACAAATACAAAGTTATAAGCATTGTTTGAAGTGTCTTTTTTTTTCTTTTGGTACCAGGGATCAAACTCATGACCTTGCACTTGCCAGGCAGTTGTTTACACCGCTGAGCTAAATCCCTGGCCCTGAAGTGTCTTTTGTTTTCTAGGTCTCAAACAATCAATCTCAGAAACATTATTTTTCCTTGTCTGTAGAATAAATCCAGTTGGAGAAGCCATACCGTAGGGGTCCTCCTGGGGATCACTTTGTCCCATCAATGTTGGAGCGTTTGTTGTTCCACTGGAGAAAAAGAGCAGATCTGCCAGACTTTCATCATGGTGCATCTTAAAGGGATCTGCAAGACAAAAGGGATCTGAACCTCACCCCCAGCGCATGCAATCAGAAGGATCCCTACCTCATAACACCATGGGATGAACATAGTAACTTACACATCCATCATATGGAAGCTGAGATAATATGAGACTGTGCCTGTAGGAATTGGTGCTTACCATATGTTTTATGGTGTATTTAGTCCAATGTTCACTTGAATTATCTAAACTAGTCAATAAATGCATAAAACTAAAAGGAAAACTCTTACATCCTAGAAAGTAAAGGTATAGAAAAATCTAAACTTTCAAATGTATTTACTAAATAAGACACTAACTTATTTTTTGAGACAGGTCTCACTATGCAGTTCAGGCTGGCCTTGAATTTACTTTGTAGCTCAGGCTGGCCTCAAACTCACAGCAATCCTCCTGCCTCAGTCTCTTGAATGATGTGATTCCAGGTATCTGCCAGCACATCCAGGCTTCATTTTAAATTATTAAAAACTAATGTTGTCCTAAACAGTTCAAGAAGGGAAATTTTTGCCTCAAGCAGGTATCATCCAAAGGGGACCAGGGGAGCAGCTGCCATCTTGAGAGAAATGAAAGGCTTTAGATTCAGGGCTGGCATGAGCAACTAAGTCTGTATTTTTGTACACAGGGAAAGAAAAAGAAAAAGCCAAGCTAGTCAAGACAGAAAAGAATGCTGCCTTCTGAGCAGGCAGAAGGCAAATTTTTCTTCTCCATTAATCATCCTGAAGTTTTTAACTGGACCTGAAAATCTGCATTTATAACGAGTGCCTCTGCTAAGACTAAGGCATTACTCTCTCAGAATGCTTCCAGGCCAACCACAGTGGTGCATGCTTGTAATCCCAGCATTTGTGAAGCAGAGACAGGAGGATCACAGTAAGTTCCAGGTTGGCCTGGGCTACACAGTGAATTCAAGGCCAGCCTAAACTATATAGCAGACCTCGACCTAAAAAAAGAAAATAAAAAAACAAAAACAAAACAATATCAGGAAAACAAAAACAAAGTAGACTCACACTTCCCAACCACAAAACTTACCAAAGAGATAACAGCAAGCATGTCTGTGTGCCACAGTTGTCTCTTGTCATGCACAGGAGACTGGCGACAAACCTATACAACCACCACACACACATACACACACACAATCCTAGGACCCACAGGTCTGCTGTATAAAACCTACATGTGTTCTGTGTACACATTAAATTACCTCTAGACTTATAATACCTTATTATGTAACTGCTGTGGAAATACTCGTTATTAAGTAGCAGCTGGAATATTTGTTAATAATGCATCATTTAGGGAATTACAAGAAAGAAATGTCTGCATGGGATCAGTAAAGATGCAATTTTTCTTCCTTGAATATTTTGGGATTTTTGTGGTTTTTTTTGTTTTGTTTTTGTTTTGGTTTTGGTTTGGTTTGGTTTGGTTTTTGAAACAGGGTCTTGCCAAGCATTCAGGCTGGTCTTGAACTAACCATGTAGCCAGGTTAACCTTGAACTCATGGCAATTTTCCTGCCTCAGCCTCCCAAGTACTAGGATTATATCATGCCTGGCTATTTCTTGAACATTTTAGATTCATGGTATATTGAATCTTTGGATATGGCGCCCATGAGCATAAAGGGCAACTATACTGGAAAAAAGACCTAAAAAAAAAAAAAAAAATCAATGGGATAGAACTGAAAGTTGAGAAAACAATGTGTTTGTGCTTTACAGATTTGCAACAAGGATATCAAGAGTATCCAACAGGTTTTTTTAAAAAAGTGAAGCTGACACAAGGGATATCCATATGTAAAAGAATGAATCTAATACTGATACCTCTCTTTCTGTCTCTGCCTCTGTCGCTGTCACTCTTTCTGTCTCTGTCTCTTCTTTTCTAACAGTAATTCAGGCTGGCCTTGAACTTACCATGTAGCCTAGCCTGGTCTCAAAGAATTAAGAGTCTAAGATATTATTGATCTTTTAGTTTTTAATGCATGAATTTCAAATAATTTATTAGGAACATTTTAAGGGGCTGGGGATTTAGCTCAGCGGCATAAGCGCCTGCCTTGCAAGCAGGCAGTCTTGAATTTGATCCCTGGTACCAATAAAAACGAAAAAGACAAAAAAAAAAAAGAAACATTTTGGAAAGAAGAAATGGATTTATATGGTAGAATATAAATCTCAGAGGAGAGAGTAAATAGGAGATAAAGGCCAACTAGAAGCTCAGGGGGAATAATGATGCTTTTGCGTGGTTTTTATTCTTCCATTTTTGAGACAGGCTTTGCAGTGTACTGTTGCAAGCTGGCCTTGAATTCGCTTATGTAGCCCAGATGGCTTCAAAGACACAGTGATCCTCCTGCCTCAGGCTCCTGAGTGTTAGGATTACAAGCTGTGCCACCAGGCCTGGCATGATTGTGATATGGGGACTGCATTGAGGCCACTTTTTGGTACACATATCATGCACATTGTTACTTAGCAGGCACAAACAAGCCCATGCTTACCAGTCTGGATAGGGTTTATCACTTGCCCAGGATGAAAACAAAAGTCTGCATCTTCAGGCCAGTTCTGGTTGTTCTGATATTCTTGGTAGACCATCGCCTCATCCAGGAATTCGGTTGGAGACCCTTAAGATACAGATTCAAAACAAATTACACACACACACACAAAAAAAAAACAAATTACAACACAGCACTATATTCTATAAAGTATCACAACTACTTTAATATAAAATAATCCAATCTTCTTGTTGTTGTTGTTGTTCATTTATTCGTTTGAGACAGAGTCTCATTATATAGGTCAAGGCTAGTCTTGAACTCAGTGGGGCCTAGGCAGGCATCCAACCCTCAGCAATCCTCCTGCTTTAGCCTGCCCCATGCTGGGATTACAGGTATGTACCACCATGCCCAGCAACATAACCCCAGCACTCAGGAGGTTGAGGCAGGAGGATTGTTCTAAATTCAAAACCAGCCTGGGCTACAAAGTGAGTTCAAGGCCAGCCTAAACAACATAGTGAGACCCTGTCTCAAAAAAAGAAAAAAAAACAACAACAAAACAGAGTCTTTGGCAATCCACTTGGGACTCCTTCTGTCTCTGACAGAAGTTTTTCTTTTTCTCAATAAATATATTCTGCTTTTAAAAAATTTAAAAAACATAAACATTAAATCTGCTGGGAGACAGAGTAGGTAAAACTCTTGACACCAGTGTAGGCTAAGACTTTATGAACAAAACCCCAATTGCACAGAAACTGTCACAAAGAATCAACCACTGGGATCTCATCCTACTGAAAAGCTTTTGCATAGCATGAGAAGCCATCAACAGAGTGAAGAGACAACCCACAACATGGGAGAAAATGTTTTCCAGCTATTCCTCAGATAGAGGATTACTATTGAGAACATACAAAGAACTCAAAAAGTCAGTCTTCCCAGATTTAAATACCCAGTCCAAAATGGTCATCTGAGAAGAATACACATTTCTCAGATGAAGAAACACAAATAGGAAATAAATATGTGAAAAAATGTTCAATACTACTGGTCATTTGAGAGATGCAAATTAAAACACTGAGATTTTACCACGCCCCCGTAAGAATGGCTATTATCAAAAAATCAATAACAAATGCTGGAGGGGTTATGGGGGGAAAGGAACTTGTTATAAAGATGCTAAAAAATTAAAATAATTGATTAAAAGATAATTAGCAAAAATAGTTACTTAAAAGGATAGTTATTAGCAATATTGTCATTCAATACTGAGCTCGTTACCCTAGTAACCAAACACCAATTATATAGTTATAAATTAAGTGACTGCGTCCTTATGCTGTTCTGTAATGCACCATCCCCCCCACCTTAGTAATCTGTATGCTATGTCAACTTTTGTTCCCCTTGTAAGAGACAAATGATGCTGTGTCAACCATTGTTCCCTTTAAGAGACAAATGTTCCTGGAATTGGCAGACCCATTGTGAAATGCCTCTTACCTCAAGCAAAGGGGAACAAAGGCCCACCTTATTTCTGTTTCTCATCACTATGTACTTAATGATCAATGAGCTAATCATAAATGAACTATAAAAATCAGTCAAAACTCTCAGTTGCACAGCTTTGCAAATTCCAACTGCACTGTGTCACTGGGCCAGCTAAAATAAAAGCGCTTCTTCCTAAAAACGACGTCGTTCTGCCTCATCTTTTCCATCTCAGGGGTTTTGCCCCATTTTTCATCTCAGGGGCTTTTTTGGGGAAGTACAACAAACTCTTCTCCACTGTTGGTGGGAGTGCAGACTGGTGCAACTTCTGTGAAAATCAGTATGGAGAGTCCTCAACAACCTGGGACGAGAGGTCCCATTCAACCCAGGTATTCCCCTTCTGGGAACCTTCCTAAAAGAATTAAAAACATTATACCACAGTGATATATGTGCACCCACATTTACAGCACCACAACTTGTAGTAGTTAGATCTTGGAAACAACCTAGGTGCCCATCAACTGAGGAATGGATAAAAAAGATGTGATTTTTTTTTTATCAGTACCAGGGATCAAACTCACAACCGCCTGCTTGCAAGGCAGGTGCTTATGCCGCTGAGCATGCCCCAGCCCCAGATGTGGTATTTTTATACAATAGAGTAGTACTCAGCCATAAAGAAAAACTGGAGATTTTCATAAGTAAATGGATGAAACTTGAGGTCACAGTCCTTAGTGAAATAAGTAAGACACATGCGTAAATACTCATTACGGCGAGAAGCTGAAACAACCTATGCATATGTATATGTATGGCATATGTACATAAAGAAGAGTTCTGACACTTATGCTACTGATTTCTCTGAGTTTGCTGAAGAGAAAGATTTGTGCTGGTGCTGTTCTGATGACTGAATACAGATGTCTTGTGCTCTGGGTGAATGATTTTGGGATGACAACATGCAATGTATGTACCATTGTTGCCCACGATGGATGCATTTTGTAATTTTTGGGGTTTTTTCCCCCCTTCTTTTTCTCCTTGAAATAAAATGGGTTGGGAAAAAAATAAGATTTGAGCAGAATTTTAAAAAGATAATAATAACAAGTTCATTCCATAATTTATATGGAAATTTTAAAAACCCAGAAAAGCCTAAAATCATTTTAAGAAAAACAAAAGTAAAGAAATTACACACCTGGGCTGGGGAATGTAGCTCAGTGGCACAGTGCCTGCCTGGCAAGCAGAAGGTCCTGAGTTCAATTCCCAGCACCAAAAATAAAACAAAAACAAACTTACTTTGAAAAAAGAAATTACACACCTGATCTCAAAAGTTACTGTAAGTGTACCAACTCATTGTAGTACTGGCCACACACTTGGATAAAAGAAATAGAACACAGTTCAAAAAGAACCCTACACAGTAATAGTCAGTTGGTTTTCAGCAAAGAAGTCAATAAAATTCAACAGAAAAAGGAAAGTTTTTTGGGGCTGGGGATTTAGCTCAGCAGCATAAGCACCTGCCTTGTAAGCAGGCAGTCGTGAGTTCAATCCCTGGTACTGATAAAAACCAAAAAGTGAAAAAAAAAAAAAAAAAAAAAAAAAAGAAAAGTTTTTCTCAACAAACAATTCAGAAACAATGTGACACTTATCATTAGGGCCAGATTCCTGGCTTACATCTCTGAGCAACAGAAACATTTCTTTTGTCCTATAGCTTTCTTGCTAATTTTTCTGTAATAATCTAGAAGACAAGTGTATTATTATTTTATGACTGAAGAACTGAGGCAAGCTGGGAGTGGTGGTACACTCCTGTAATCCCGGCACTTAGGAGGTTGAGGCAGGAGGACTGCCACCAATTCAAGCCCAGCCTAGATTACACAGTGAGTTCAAGGCCAGTTTGAACTAACATTAACTACACAATTACAGGAGAGAAGAGAGGCATGTGTTGCTTGAAGTTGAAGCCAGGAGTCAGCCTGCAACTGAATCTGACAGTCTTGAAGTCTTTGGTTACCTTTACAAACAGGTTTTCTCCTTCCTATTTTGTTATTATTAATATCCTAATAAATCTACAGCAGAGGGTAAACAACAACAAAAAGGAGAAAAGGTGAGAGGAGGGCTGGAGGGAGAGAAGGGACAGGAGGAGGGCAGTGCAGACAAGCAGAGTTGGACACTTGCAGAGGTAATGAGGTTCCTTGTTCCTGGCTTTGCTGCACACTAACTGTTACGGCTGATACACTGTGTCAACCTGAGCAGTTAAGAAGTTTAACTGAGAGACTCAGCAGGGAGCCAGGGTTGATCTTTGCAAATATTCTCATCCTGTGCAAAGGAGGGCAAGGAGATTTTGTGAGTGCTACACCTGCCCTAGAAGGGGGCAGCGGTGGCCTGCATTCTATATGTAAGGGAAGAGAAGAGGCTTGTTTTCTCTTCTTTTGCTCTGGCTGCTGCCTTGAAGCGCTGCCCCAGTGCCATGCCACCCTGCCTTGGAGCCAGATGATTATGGACTAAAGCCTCCACAAACAGTGAGCCAAACAAAGCTTTCCTTCCTTCATTTTGGGGGTTGGGTGTTTTGTCTCTGCAATGGGAAAAAAGTAACCAAGCCACTAACCATGCAGTTGGGACAGGCAGACCTTTTATCTCTTGGTTTCAGCCCAGGTCCAAGGAAAACTGTACAGTTCGACAATCACTCTAATAAAGGAACAGCCAATAAACCTAATCAAGCTGGGCACTCTAATAAAGGAACAGCCAATAAACCTAATCAAGCTGGGGATGGTGGCGCATGCCTGTAATCCCAGCACTCGGGAGGCTGAGACAGGAGAATAGGTATGAGTTCCAGACCAGCCTGGGCTACAAAGTGAGCTCAAGGCCAGTCTCAACTGCATAGTGAGACCTTGTCTCAAAAAGACAAAAAACAAAAAGCAAAACAAAAAAGCTAATCCTGTGTAGGGCCTTCTGTTTCTAAAGTTAATAAAGATAACCTGTCTCTTGCTCAGATCTTTAGACGCTGGCCCTCTTCCCTTACTCCAAGGGGAGCCCAGTCCCCTGGGCACATATGTGGTCCTCAAGGCTCCCAGTATCCAGGCCCCTGCTCAACCGATCAGGGATGCCTTACCTGGCAAGGACTTCCTGCCCACTTCCAACCTAGAATGAGAATTAAGACTCACTTTCTCTTGCACCATTCTGTTGATGTCTGCTCATTTTCCTCAGCTGTCTTTTGGTTGGTTCATTGTTGTTTTTGCTTTTTTTGGTAAAGGGTCTTATTATGTAGCCCAAACTGGTCTCAAACTTGCAGTGATCCTCCTGCCTCAGCCTCCCAAGTACTGGGATTACAGGTATGGGCCAACAAGCCCAGGTTTTTTCCTCTGAACTTTCAACATTTGTTGATAATTACTCTTTCAAAATGTCGATAATTTAGCCCTTAACTACTTATTTCATCATTAGCCTCTTTTCATGTTTAATATCCTTAAGTAATCTGTGTTCATCATAAATTTTCATTATTTCATATGTATTTGTATGTGACAATTCATGTTCCTCTCTGAAAAGTGAAAATGGGCTGGGAATTTAGCTGAGTGCTAGGGGAGCATGAGGACCTGAATTCGATTCCCTGTGAGGAAAAAAAAAAAAGAAGAGCTGTGTTTTACTACTTTATTTCTTCATAATACTGACCTCACTGCACATAACAGTATTCAATAGATAAG